ATACTTAGAGAATATTGACTGGCGATAGAGCATTTTGATTTTTTGATTTTAGTTATTGGCCCTCTGACTGCCCGAGTCATGTAATAATTTCCTTTATTACATCCATTTTGAAATTACTGGTGGTCCCTGTAATCTGATTGGCTCTAATTGGTGCAATTTATTCACGAATCGCACCACTTTTTTGCTCTAAATCACATCATTTTATGCTTGACTAAGTTTTTGACACATGACATCAGTCTTTCTGTTTTGCATACAAAATAAAATGTAAAAGCGTTTCCAGTTCTGCTTTTTATTTAAAAACCAGCTAAGTACTGCATCAATAAAATATTTGCATTTACCAAGTCCTTTTTCGCATTTGTGGTTTTATTATAATTTCAATTGTATTTATTCCTAGTTCTAAGTAATTGTAACGCAATTCAGTCTACGGACTGCCATGTTCGATATTCTAATAAACTATCTATCTATCTATCCATCTATCTATCTATCTAAATCCAACGAAAACGAAATGGTCCTCCCTGTTTCATACCTTTCCGTTTTGTTTGTTGTTAAATTGTTTGCTGGATTTTTTTTTTCTTCTTCTTCTCTTTTTCTCCCTTGTTGAACAAAACAACGATGAGTTGCCGGAAGTTGAAACTCGTTCGGAGCGTTCCAACAGACATGAAACTGAACCAAACCGACTGTTTTGCAGTACTATTTGATTTTTAGGGTTTTGCAAAACGCAGTCGTTTTTCGGCTGCCATGTGTAGCCGAAGATTTTAAATACCACTGTTTGTAAAACACTTCAGCTTTACTGGTGAATTTGACAATTTTTCCATCAAGAAACAAAAGTGGCAATTGTCTGATAATGAAGCAAGGCCTTTGACATCTGAAGATGGTAGTATGTTTTAGTTTCCAATGATGGCAAAGTGATCAGTTGACCATAAATTTACTTGTTTTTTGCTATTAAGAATATTATAATTTTTATTGTTTCTTCAGGAATGAGATTCAACGTGCCCGTTCACAGGTCCAAATATTACTCTCCAAGTTACAGATTGTGGATTAAAAGGTTGAAACTGAGGGCTGGTGTAACAGACTTTTCAAGTAGCCTGTCGTATTTAGACTCGTATTTGACTCGTTTTTGTTATGGAGCATGTTATTTGAAAGAAACGTGTCTTTAACGTTCTTCAACTGTTTACATGTGGCTCGTACCAGTTCTCTTGGAGGAAATTGCGGTCTGGGCAACAACTTTAGTTAAGTTTTTCGCGCATTACTGTAGACAAACGTTGAAATTCTGTCATGAAAGAGTGTCAAATTGGACAGGTTTGCAACAAATAAAATGTTAATTCTGCGTTTGTTATCAGTTCCTCTCCTGTTTGTCAACGTGCTTTTTAAATCCCACCGTTTTATATCTTTTTATTTCTTGCTTTTAATCATTTTTCGCCGTTTGTTTGCTTATTTCGATAGAGATCTCCCTTTCTTGGAGCTTACTCGTTATTTTACAGAGATGCCGATTACACACAACTTGGCAGTTTTCCTTTATAACACTGTTCTCCCACATTTATCATACTTACAACAAGGGAGTTCCCTCCCATAACATTCAGACATAGAACAATCAGACAATGCTATTGTGATTGGTTTTATTTCGGGTGGTCTAACGCAATCTTCGAAATCGTCCCAGTCTCCTAATTGGTGCTAATAATAGACCCTCCTCAAAATGGCGACCGGAAACGTAGACCAATGACAAACTGCACTAAGACATGTACGCCAGCCAGTGAGGGAAAAAAAACAAAAACAAAGAAAAAAAGAAACAGACAAAAGAACAAACTAGCGGTGTAACTGTTGGAAATTCTACGCCCTTCTTTCCTCTATAATTTTATTTTCACTCACTTGAAATATTCTACTCATTAGTTACTCTGACTTGGACATTGTTTTAGGGCTATCTTCTTCAAACTCCCATTCGTGAAGAGAGCCTCATTTCAAACCGTTCTACTTAGTTGTGGTCGCTTCTTTAGAGGAGAATCTATCAAAGTCAGATCTAGCTTTTCACTGTAATGAATCAGATGCTTATTACACTAGGTAGTTGATAGGTATAAATATGGCTGGGCGAATCCGGACGGCGAATCAACTATTCCTGAAAAAAGTACGAGACATTTCAACAGCCTTGCATCCTGTTTGGTCGCTTTTGTGCTATCATTTAATTAATATAAGCAAAAACACTCAAAGTGAACCGTGCAAAGTTCTGTAAAACCCAGAAAATAGAGAATCAAGGTTCTCTGACACACTCATAGAAAAAGATAAAACGAGTTTCAACACGCACAGCCTAAAGAGGCCTGTATCGACAGTCTGTATCTAGGACCTTGCTATGGAGCCACCAGCCGGCATACGGGATGCAATTTCCTAACGAAGAAAATAAAATTAAGTTAAATTAAGGAAATGCAAACAGCACCGAACTAACATAGAAAAATAAATTTCCGCGTAAGAATAAATGAGCGCTCCACCCATCTCATGGCGACCAGTTTTCCAGTCCAGTCTCCTACCAAAGTAGAGCAAAACCAAAGCAATCTTGAACCCCGTTAGACGTTGGAGCAGTTTTCAACTGGGTGTTGAGAGTACTTCGAGATTATGATGATTTCACTCTACTTCGCTCTAAGATTGATGAAGGAAATTGTTCGCCTCTCTCGCTACCAATCAGATGAAACCATCTGAAACCAATTAGGACTTGGTCTCCCGCGTGACCCATGCCTTAGGCAGTTTGGTTGTTTTGACTTAAAGTTCTCACGCGATCTCGTTCGCCTTTAATGGTATTTTCCTTTCTTATTTTTACGATATTCAATCGAAAAGCGCTCTCTTCTCTCTTCATCAGGACTGATTTGTTCTTTTTCTATCTTTGCTCTGACTATAATAAGCACTTTTATCATCCAACTACACCTAGACGAGTACGAATAACGCCATAGACGAGTACAAATATCACGCGGTATTTGTACTCGTCTATTGAAGTACCGGTTAAACAGGTTTTCTCGCATCGCGCAAGCGAAGAATTGATTGTAGTTACGAAAAAAAGAAAAAAGTGGCGGACAATTTGAATCATATTTCCGACGACGAAGAGTCAGAATGGCTGGCAAATATAGATCTAAGTTCATTTGATGAATCGAACGAAGAAAAAAAGCTTGAAGACCAGAAAATTTCTTCATTTTAATGAAGAAAATAGAAACAGCAACACAACAACGCGTTCCGCTTCGCAAACTTCTGTCGCGCACTCCCCGTAAATAAATATCCGCGAAATTCGCCCACACTGAAACAACAGTTTGGCGTGTTGGATAATAAATACTTATTAGGCGTTTTGTTGTGTACTATCGCTGAGTATTTTTACTCGTTATTTAATAATCTCTTGGGGGCGTTTTTAATAAAACAATTATTCCACTCACGCTTGTTGGATATGAGATGATTATAGTCAACGAGGCGCGTAGCGCCGAGTTGGCTATCTATCATCTCATATCCAACGCGCGCTCGTGGAATATTTGTTAAATATATATGTATGTACAAAATTCTGTATACGAGAGAGACCCTGACTCTGTACACCCCAAGTAACCATAATTAAATAGAATAAATGTTTGAAAAGAAAATTTGCCCTGAGCGGGATTTGAACCCACGTCCCTCCTGTTACTAGTCAGGTGTGATGACCACTACACTATCAGGACAACCATGCTGGCAACACGGCAATCAAAGATGTGATTTACGTGATCGGAGACGTGGTCTCCCGGGAAATTTAACTTTTCAAGGTGACCGGGTAGGGGAAGCCTATAACCCCATATGAAACCCAACTAAGGATCTATTAAAGATACACGACCGAAGTCAACTTAGCGGATCACAAAGGAGGATCCAATTACGGATACAGGCTAATTTCAATTAAACAAATTCTGTATGCGAGGGAAACCCTGACCCTGTACACCCCAAGTAATCATACTTAAATAGAATAAATGTTTGAAAAGAAAATTTGCCCTGAGCGGGATTTGAACCCACGTCCCTCCTGTTACTAGTCAGGTGTGATGACCACTACACTATCAGGACAACCATGCTGGCAACACGGCAATCAAAGATGTGATTTACGTGATCGGAGACGTGGTCTCCCGGGAAATTTAACTTTTCAAGGTGACCGGGTAGGGGAAGCCTATAACCCCATATGAAACCCAACTAAGGATCTATTAAAGATACACGACCGAAGTCAACTTAGCGGATCACAAAGGAGGATCCAATTACGGATACAGGCTAATTTCAATTAAACAAATTCTGTATGCGAGGGAAACCCTGACCCTGTACACCCCAAGTAATCATACTTAAATAGAATAAATGTTTGAAAAGAAAATTTGCCCTGAGCGGGATTTGAACCCACGTCCCTCCTGTTACTAGTCAGGTGTGATGACCACTACACTATCAGGACAACCATGCTGGCAACACGGCAATCAAAGATGTGATTTACGTGATCGGAGACGTGGTCTCCCGGGAAATTTAACTTTTCAAGGTGACCGGGTAGGGGAAGCCTATAACCCCATATGAAACCCAACTAAGGATCTATTAAAGATACACGACCGAAGTCAACTTAGCGGATCACAAAGGAGGATCCAATTACGGATACAGGCTAATTTCAATTAAACAAATTCTGTAT